CTAAATTCCAGTGTATTTCTGTTTCCAGCTGTACTGGGAAAAATGTGAGAAGCTGTGCATATAGTATACCTGTTACATAAAAACATTAAAATGCAGAGAAAAATGTGGACATTTTTCAGATTCAGGGATTGTTTTTTTATATACCTTCCCCTTTACATAAAATGCATGTTCCCACCAGAAGAGGGTGTATAAGTATACATGTGCATGTATTCAACCTGTTTCTTTGCTTGGTCTTTTTGTTCCCTTTGGGATAATCATGTGACAAAAGTGACAAAAAAGCTACCTTGCATTTTGCAGATATTGTGTATGGATAGTGAACTGAAAACTTTACAAGGCAGGCGGAAATTAACAAATAGCAAGGCCAGCTTCCAAGTTTTCTTTCCTGTAATTCATCAAAATGGATGCTGTCCTTGTCTCTCAGGGGTTGAATTTCTATTTATTTGTAGACGGGGTCATTCTTGGCGAGTGCAATAGAGAACTCCTTATCATTGTTCCAGGAGCTTTACTTTAAAACCAGTACTGAACCTCTCAGCAATCATTAAGTATTCAGAGTGGGAATGAGAAGGGAAGGAAACATAAGACCTGTTCTCAATCCTCCATAGAGGGAAGAAGCAGTATTGTCCTAGCAGATTCCTGTTCTTTTAAAATGTAAGCTCTATGTTCACCCTTGATGTTTTGATATTTCTCCAAAGGAGAATATCGGTTATCATTATATTAAAAATGGTTGATTATGAACACTGCATCTTCATGCAAGTTTCATTATAAGCCTTCCATACTTTAAGAGCATTTTATATGTAGCCTTTAAATCTGTTTCCCAATTTTGAATAGCTTGTACAATAGCAAACTAAAAGAAAATGCTTTCTTCGTGGACAACTAATTCTTGCCAAGAACACATTGCATTCAAAGCATTAGTACAGGTTTGAATTTTGTTTACAACTAAGTGAAGCAATTGAATGAGTTTATCATTCCTTTTAACCTATCCCTTCATAGTCTCTCTCCAATCCTGGATATCCTAAAATATTGATTATAATTTATTTTTGTTTTATATTTTTTTTCCACCCACAACTCTCATTAATGGAAGGGTCGACTTGAAGATTAAGCTAATTCTGTATTATAGTTTAATTAGTAATATTTAAATGGCAAAAAATACTCCACCATCTCTTCAATGTTTTGTTTGATCTTTGTAGTTCATATTCTTTTGGGTTGGTACTGATTTAATAGAAACACATACAAAGCACAGTACTCTATGACGTTACGCTGTATTAACATTTATCTGGTGTTTTTTCCAAATGAGAAGAAAATATACTACTTTGTTACTTAATGAAACTTTGTAAGTTAAATCTTAATATGACAATAGGAAATAATTACTAAATGCATAATTGATATACCAGTAGTTAGTTTCCCTTTTAAAATAAATTAAAATTTTAAAACAAAATGTTGCCTTGCATCTGGTAGGCATGCTCGCTGTCCCTATCGCCAACTCCTTAAATCAGTTGTGCCATTTCCTGGGATCACATAGGAACTGTACTATCCCAGGGTGATTCAGAATTGAATTAAAGTTATGGTGACAAGGCAGCAATATCCAGTCACATATTTTCTGTGGACATCATGTTTTATTTAGCATATAGTGAGAGTATGACAAAAAAGAACCAGGGGCTGCACAGCTACCATAGGTGTCCAGAAAAGGCACATCTTTTTTAAGGAGCCCCTGATAGATACAGTGGGCATAAGACACAAGATCCAAGACAGCTTTCTGCTTTGAATTCAATATTACTGGATCCCTATTTATTTATTGCACTTTCATAGCATCTAGCACCTCTCCATACATAGTTGTATTTCAGTGTAGCAATAAACGTGTGTATATTTGTCTTTATTTTTGTGGTTTTGCATATTTAAGTGTAGTTGATTAAAGTTAGACTAGGTTTCTTTATGTTTGAATTTGTTACGCAATTGCTGTCCTGTCCCATAAATCACCGTAGCATGAAATTTACCCTGAGGAATCCTATGGGGATGTAGGGAGAAAGGAAATTTGTTCTACTGACAATTACTGTTCTGTCAACAAATACATGTATTTATTAGACAACCGATGTCCTGTTGGGTCATCATCTGGAGAAATAGTTCCTTACCTAAACAGAAACAGAATGACCATGGGTGAACAAAAAGTAATGGAAGTAGGAGCGACTTTTGATAACCTGCTGGCTTCCTCATTGAATTTCTTTATGGGAAGCTGGCAAGTGGCATTGGACATCTTTCTCCCTCCGTCCCTCCATCCTTTGAATTCTAACCAGCTTCCCCATTTATTTTGCTTGTGGGAAGCTTGTGCGAGGAGAAAGACAGTGGGGAAGCCAGCAGGAACGTACAAGTCCAAGGCCAGCAGGCAGCCAAATGGCTGCTGCTGGGTCAGGGAGGAAGCAAGAAAATAATGGCTTTTCCATATCAAAAAAGTGACATTTAAAGAAGCTGACTGAAGGGCATAGTTAGACTGGAGGTTTCATAATTGTTCTGTATCCCTAATGTGAGGGCAAATTAGACATAGTACTGGTATATATATATATATATATATATATTTCTACTGTTGTTTACAGGAGAATGGAACAGAGCTTCATTTAACACTAACAGATAAGAAAATGAATAAACTGTTCCCATTTCATATTTCCATTTGCCTATAAGCAGGAAGTCAGATTTATAGATTTAATAGATCTATAGATAGATCTCTGATTGTGCAGAATAACATTACCTGTTATTAAACATTTCAGAATTCCTTGTCACATCCCGAGAGATCGTGGTGAAATGAAGTGACGACAGATAGAACATAAATTTATTTACATTAAGCAGAGTTATCCATATACTTTTTTGCTTTTTTCAATACAAAGAGTGGGTGAGCTTTTACACATTTACAGTATAAATGGCATTGCTTTTCATAATTTGGATTGTAAATAAAAACAAAAGCTTTGGGATCCATTGAAAAAAGTTCTGAAACATAATGTTTTTCAGGCAATAGAATGCCAGTATAGAGTACTTGAAATTGCTGATAAGTAAAATTTGAGTGTCTTTTTCTATTAAAGTAATCTTGAATATGTTCCTCTAATGAATCTGCAACTTCCTGCTGACTTTCCCACTGACTTTAGTTATGAGAATTGTGTAGAAGTTCTTGGCTAAATCCAATCTATCCATTTACTAAAAATACTAATGAACACTATATGTGGCCTTTCCAGTATGTTTGAGTGGGTAATAATTGGATTCTGGTTGTATTATTGATAGTAAAGTATTTGTTGTTCTAATTTGTTTACCACATTGGATTATTTTTACCATATTGCATCCAAAGTAACAATGTAGCAAAGTTCTTGAAGAAAAGATAAATCTGTTTGGTACAAATACAGTAAAGGAGAATAGAGTTAATTTCAGATTATTCTTCATTAAAATGGTATGCTTTTGTGTACTTGTGCCTTCCATTTTGAAATATAATAAATGTGGTCCTTTGCCTGTGCTTTTTGCATTTTAGTACCAAAGACTAGTTAAAAACATATTAACTTTTTTAAAAAATATCTGTATCAATCAATTTTTAAAAGCTTTTTCAGAACAGAACAGTAAATTTAAAACCTGCCCTTCAGGCCCTGTACTTTATAATTAGATTACATTGAGGTGGCCTAAATGTCCCTTTCACAATCTTTTAACTTCTTCTCCAAAAGCTTCAACTTAAAATATTGGGGTGTAAAAGGATGGATACAACCTTAGTCCTGTTACTGTTTAATTTTTACTGGATGCTGACCTTCCATTGTTGTATCCCAAAAAGTCAGTGATGGTAAAATTAAGTTTGCATTTACTGGCAGTTAAGTGACTTTTTACAGGAAGCAAGTGAGCAAATATTGTGATTATCTCCTACTTAGTTCATGCTTTCTTGTGGCAAGTTATTATGATCCAAACTGTGTCTTTCCCTTCTCACCAAATTAGAGAATGTACTGCTGAATATAAACAGAACTGCATCAAATAATGTGTTGCCCTGGTTACCAGCCCTGACCAATACTGCCATGCTACACATGCTGATGCAAGACTATCACAGCCAATGTGGTCTAGTAAATTTGGGAAGAGAAGATTTGTTATAGTGTTTTGACCTTGCTTGTGCAATAAAGTGTCTATCTTGGATCCATTTTCATATAAGAAACATTGGAAATCTCTACCAAAAGCATTAAGACTAGGCCGCAGTAATTCATTCTCTTTGATGATCCAACTAGCTGAACTTTTGCTGATAACATCATTACAAAATTTGCCTCATCTCCCCAACTATGTTCAAGTAAACTGTATACAGTAATACCATACAATAGCATAGTTGGAAGGGACCTTGGAGGTCTTCTAGTCTACCCCCCTATACTGTTTCAGACAAATGGCTATCCAACATCTTCTTAAAGACTTCCAGTGTTGGGACATTCACAACTTCTGGATGCAAGCTGTTCCACTGATTAATTGTTCTAACTGTCAGGAAATTTCTCCTCAGTTCTAAGTTGCTTCTCTCCTTGATTATTTCCACCCATTGCTTCTTGTTCTACCCTCAGGTGCCTTGAAGAATAGTAATCAATAACGGTAACAGTAATCAATAGCAATAGCATTTAGACTTACATACCACTTCATAGTGCTTTATAGCCCTCTCAAAGCGGTTTAAAGAATCAACATATTGTCCCCAACAATCTGGGCCCTCATTTTACCAATCTTGGAAGACTGAGTCAACCATGAGCAGGTCATGATCGAACTGCTGGCAGTCGGCAGAATTAGCCTGCAATACTGCATTCTAACCACTGTGCCACCACCACTCTTCAGTATTCAGTTCAGATTACCAAAGATGTTCCCAATGCTGCTGACAATCATGGGATATGAAATATTTTTTGAAAACTGTATGATTGACTAGATGGTTTGAATAATTTAATGTGGCTATGCAATGATTTAATTTAATCATATTCATTCCCAACATAGAAAACTTAATTTTTTTTATCCTTAATCTGTTTCAGTAATAGTTATGCCCGTGTGCGAGCTGTGGTGATGACCCGTGATGACTCAAGTGGTGGATGGTTACCACTTGCAGGGGGTGGACTAAGCTACGTCACCATTTTCAAAGTCATTCACCAAGAAGAAAGTGGCTGTGCTGATTTTCTTATACATGGGGAACGTCTCAGGGATAAAACGGTAAAAATAATTATGTCTCTTTTGCTATATTAATTAAAGGGAAGTAACTCCATAAGAAACAGTTTGCAGCACCGTATTGTTTATACGTGTGTGTTTGTTCCCCTACTCTTTTCTCTTTGTTGGATGCAGATGTGCACCCACATAGGCATATGTGTGCATGTTTATATACACACCTAAACACATTTTAGTAAGTGGTTTTAAATTTCAAAGTTCATAACATTTTCTGATCATTTGGAAAGTACTGTTGGATTGCATTAAAAGTGGTTGATTGAAAAATCCATTAAAATATTCCTGTTTCTTGCATTGGAGATAACCTAAAAATGGTTTAAAGTGATTTGTAATAATTATCACAATAAATGTATAAAATACATCATAAGATTGCAAAATTTGAAAGAAATGTAATAATTATCACAATAAATGTATAAAATACATCATAAGATTGCAAAATTTGAAAGAAATGTAATAATTATCACAATAAATGTATAAAATACATCATAAGATTGCAAAATTTGAAAGAAATGTATTGTTGGTACTGGTCTCCCATGTTGGCTAGGGAATTCTGGGAGTTGAGGTCCATACATTTTAAAGTTGCCAAGTTTGAAAACACTGTTTTACACTAATCCATTTCAGGATTATACAAACCATAGAAAAAGTGTAAGAAATAGTAAGCAAATAAATTGGAAGCAGACTAATATAAGATAAAATCTAATTAAATCCAGTGCACATTACATTATTCACTATGCTTCTAAACACTTTTTCTGTTTCTGCTTCATGCACCAATTCATACATTGCCTTTAGCCGTTTAAATTTCACGTCTCTTTTTGAGAATCTGTTTCTTTTTCTCTTTATCTTTCCTTCACAGATTGACTTTGTAATGTACTTCATGCTCTCTTTTTAACCAAAATATCTCAATGTCCTTCTTTCATACTAGTTACTTTTGTATTTAGTCTACATTCATTCAAATCATAATCATTCCTGACCGTATCTCTTTATTTTGCCATACATATCCTTTTTCAGTTCATAAGGTAAATTCCATTTCAATTCACTGTGTTGTTCCTCCTGACATATCCAGCCCTCATTTCCATGGAACACAATGTCAGAATAGTGCACCTACACACATATTTTAATTGCTTCCTGTAAATACAGATTCCTTACAGTACATTGCTTTTTACTGGAATTTAACAGAATAATATATTTTTCCATCTTTAGAAAACATTCTACCCTTGTATAGATTTTTTTTCTATTTTTTTCTTTTTTTGTTGTTGTTTGAGATCCATTATCCTCATTCATACAGTATTCTGTATCTAATATCACTGCAATCATTTGGGTTCCTAGTCAAGAGTAGTGCATCATTTGCAGCCATTTTCATGTCCTTGACTAATACATTTCTCGAATTATTGCAAGCATTCCATATATGTTTATCAATAAATGCATTAACAACCAAAGGTATATTGCACATCCTTGCTTTCTCTGTGTTGAATCATTTCCTTATTTCCTCGCATGTTTAACTTCCATCATATATCACTCTTATTACATGCAGTAACCAACATTAAATTCCATATTTGCACAAATGTTCTGAAATACATTAATAAGCTTCATTATATACTTTCTTTAACTCAATAAATGTATATTTTTTGCTTTTATTCATTTCTCAATTACTTGGTGAAAAGCAAAAATCTTCACTGCATATACGTTTTTCTTTTCTAAAATAATATCCTGTTACCTGCTCAGTGTCACTCTGGCAGTTGTATAAATTAGTTAAATAAATAATAAAGTTTCACTATACTTCACAAATTTAACTCATCCTGGACCATTGATTTCATTATCTTTTTCTTAGACATTGACAATATTAATCGTGATCTTTTAAATTCTATTTTTCTCATAGCACTGTCATTCCCATATAGAATCTTCCATCTCACTTTAGTTTGATTCCAAATTATTTTGTAATTTAGCAGATCATAGGAGAACTAGCAGATATATCACAATCATGCTCATACTATTATTCAACTCTACAATATAAAAATTAGCTCATAAGTTACTGTTACTGTCAACTCACAATTAGGAGGTAGATGATGTGTACTGCCACACTCGATATATTAGCATATAAAGTTGTGGATGTATTAGATTGTTTTATTAGAAAGCATCAAAATGGAAAATAGGTATGCAAAAAGAAAAAAACGTAATACTGTAAAAATTAATAAAAATACTGTATTTATATCTACAGTGTGTATTGCTATCAGCATTGAGATTTTAAAAGTTGAGATAATGTCACTCTTAAGAATGTAGATTGTGAAAAAGATTGCAACCAACAAAAATCTTTTTTTTTCAGTGAAATAATTTGTGCCAGAAAAATGAAAGGATAAATTACAAGAAATCAGAAAACTAAATGAGTTATTAGTTGCCTGTTTGGTATAGAATTCTTCATTAATATAATATCCATTTCTTACACATAATCATGCTTATAGGTACAGCTGGATATAACTATTCACTGATTTGCTGATAAATAAAGAGCTCTTTAAACATAGCAGCTTGATGAAAGTTACATTTACATAAGATTAGGGTTACAACTCATCCAGAAGGGCAGGGAGCAAGACTGGGGGATTGGCATTTGGAAACTCCCTGGATGGATTACTTTCTTTAAATGTTACCTTTAGCTATACAAGAGGCACCCAGAAAAAGGCAGCTCCCACATAACTGGTAAACCATGAGCCTGGCACGTAGTAATCCATGTAATATCTGCCCCCGAGTGCCTGTTTTGCCATTTAAATTAAATGTAGAGCTTGTGAAATTGTCTGCTTTATTCATACTCTCAGTAGAGCAGCTGCTAAATAATATAGTCTTTGAATGTATAAAGATTTAGTCATAATCATTAGTGTTAAATATCCTATTTGCTATTTAAATGTCTGCTGATTCTTAAAATCATGCAGGTATGAAGTGGTCTGTAGATACAGTGAAGCAAGGTTGGTTTGTAAGGATATCAAGCCATTGATATAGAGTGGGGTTGCAAACTAGATCTGGGTCCTTTTTTTGATGCCTACTTTTCTGCCCCTTTGTAACAACTATCAATCCAAAGGTTAGTTAGGGTTTCTTATGTTGTAAGACATCTGTTCCCTGCTTGCCCTTTACAGTTTTGCATAATGTTTCCAGCAGCAAAAAGGAGTAGTGCACTGGATAAGAATTTACATTTGAATACCTTCAATGTGTCATTTTAGAACCCGAAGCAAATTATTTGAGATAAATAATGTTGATAAAGCTTAGCGTGGGAATATTGAAATAATTGCTCAGAATAAGGTAAATCATGAAAAATGAGAGTATTTAGTATGGATGAGAGAAGGAGTTTCAATGTATTGTCCAGTTCTATATTATAGTGTGATTCCCACGAACGCACACATATATCCTTGAAACGTATGATTTTGCTTATTATGCTCCTTCTTTTCATCTTCTGTTTTAAATTTTCCCACATTGTACCCCTTGCTTTCCAACTGAGCAATGCTTTTAGTACTGTTGTTCCAATATAGTCAACAAATGGCATTGCTGCTGCCATCTTTTATGGACTCTTTTATTACCTGAAGAAACAAGGAAATCTGGATTTCAACTATTTTGTCAGAAAAAGCAAAGAAAGCAAAGAAGAGAAGCTACTACCAGAGATCAAACCATAGGAGAATGAAGGAAGGGAAGATTTGGTGAAGCAGTTTGCTTGCTTTCAGCAAGGAGGAGCAGCTGTTTGTTACTTCTTCTGTAATTAGAGTTGAGCATACAGTTCAGGAAAACAATGGACATTTGCTGTTCACCAAATGATATCGTCACTGTTGGCTAGTTGTGGAGGAAGGAAAAAGTGATATAATTGGAAAGCCACTATCTATGGTACTTCTATGTAAGGTGTGTCTTTATCCATTATTGAAGATGTACAAATGGAGAACAAGACCGCAACAATAATCATTCTCCTCTCTGAAAATATATTGCCATGTATATGTTTGGCATGGACTCAAAGGTTCTGAGCAGCTAGAATTTACTTTTTATGATTTCTCACAATTTTTAATAAGTACAACTTTGTTTCTTTCAGTGTAATATATCAACAGTGCACTATTATGAGAATTTTTTTTGTAAAAACTGCTATTGAAACAGTAATTAAGATTTAGCTGGCAAAAAGTCTTGCTTGCCAGTAAACCACTATCTTGTCATTGCTGCTGTTCCTTTTGCAATGTGTTCCTGTGTGTGTGTGTATACACACACGTGTATATGATTAGCACTGACATCCAGAGCCAGCTGATTTGTTTGGTTGGGGGGAAGCTGTCATAAACCACTAATTATAGGTCAGACTTAAAAACTCATCAGGTAGCCCTGCCTTTGGTTTTTCTAGGAGTTGTCCTGTCGTTCAGTGTGGATGGACCGGTTTCCATACTTTTCTTTTATCCTACTTCTACTCTTCAGCCCTGAAAAGCCTTTTTGACTGGTTGACTCAGTCTCTTCCAGACCACCAGATACATTGAACTCCCCATCTCAGAATTCCTGGCCATCCTGTTCACTCGGTTCAGGAGTTTAATTCAAGATGCTTAAAACCATGAGTTTAAACCTCTGGTAATAAAGTGGAATGCATTTAAAAGGAAGACAACAGAGAAGGATTGTACATCACTTGATTTTTGAACCTTTAAAACCTGCTTAGCATTAATGACATTATTAAACATTTTCTTGCTGTAATGCACTCCTGAAATGAAGAATAGAACTTAACTTGAAACAAACATACATTAAAAGGTAAAGGTTCCCCTCGCACATGTGCTAGTCATTCCCAACTCTAGGGGATGGTGCTCATCTCTGTTTGAAAGCCAAAGAGCCAGCGCTGTCCGAATACCTCTCCGTGGTTATGTGGCCGGCATGACTAAATGCCGAAGGCACACGGAATGCTGTTAACTTCCCACCAAAGATGGTTCCTATTTTTCTGCTTGCATTTTTACATGTTTTCGAACTGCTAGGTTGGAAGAAGCTAGGACAAGTAACAGGAGCTCACTCTCTTACGCAGCGCTAGGGATTTGAACCGCTGAACTGCAGACCTTTCTGATCGACAAGCTCAGCGTCTTAGTCACTGAGCCACCGCATCCCACTAAACATAAATTAGGAAGTGCTTTGATGTATACTGACTGTCTCTCTGACTGTTTGGGTGGGGTAGCAAGACAGAGGTCTAGTTCAGAAAAGCAATGCATTGGAATTTAAGTAGGGGAGGAGAGTTTTGTGGTGTGAGCTCACTGCATCTAGAAAGCACAAGATTATGCAAGTAAAATATTTTGATTTATTTTGTTTTATTCGAGAGTACTTGTGACAAAATACTAGATGTACTTTCATGAATGAGAATACTTGCTTGACATGTTTTTGACGAACAATCTGCCCGGTATCTTGAAAAGCGATAGCACTGAGGAAATGAGTTTCACTTTGGAATGACAGAGACTATTTCTGGACTTGTTTACCCAGCTTGTTTAGACCTCTGTTGGAATGTAAAGCAGTTTTTTTTTCACTCTTTCTTCACAAAGCACCCTTGACATAATTGCACACTTCCTCCTTCATTATACTTCCCTTCTGAGATCTGGCTCCAGCCAGTCTAGTTTGAACAATTACCTTCTACTCTAACCTGGACAGGTCTGCTGCTGTTTTAAGCTATGTAAACATTGCCGGATAGTTCCTTTTATATGAAGCATTAAGTAGGCACGCAGGTTTCAGTATTTTAGATTGTCAAATGCTATTGCTTTTAAAGTGATGCTTACTTTGCTTTCCAATTTTATAACGAGTCAGTTTGTTGCCTGTTGCATATCTTATTTTCTGTTGCCGTTGTTTAATCAATGCAGATTAGCATATTCAGACAATGAAAAAAGCTTTTGAAACTTGTACCATTTAGGTCTTCTAGAATAGGAATTTGAGAAGCAGAGAAACAATTTTTAAATGTCATTGCTTGGTATCACACTTCTTCCATAATTTAGTGTGCAATGACTATGGAAATTTAGCATGATTATTTTTAGCAAGGAAAAAGGGAGACAAAAAAGATTGAAAATATTAAACTGAACAGGTAACCCTGGGCCCAGTTTTTCTTATCCTTAACCTATGTCACAGGGGACAAAAATCTTTGCATTCCTCCTTGAAAGATAGGAGATCAATGAATGACACTAAAACTTGGATAGATTAATCAGGGTTGTTGTTAAAAACCATTACATTTTTTTTCTGTAATTGCTCATCCTGGATGCTTCCTACATATATTGAGGGAGGGGTTTTAGTCTAAAATCGAAGAGGACCTAACAGCACTCTGGAAAGAAAAGCAGCTTGGGAACAGAACAGTGTGAAACAAAAGCAGTTGATGGAAATTGAGTATGGCTGCGAAATGGTTTGGATTTGATTCTGAAATGGTGTCTACGGTGTGCAAGGGCATAAATATAACATCTGTCTACAACTTAAAGCAACTACATCACATAGCAGGTCCATAATAAAGAAACTCCATTGTGTTTGCATAGATAGAAAAAAGTAAAAACCTGGGTTTGTTTAAATGAATAGAATACATTCGCTGATTTTTTTCTGAAATTAATTTCTTAGGGGAAAAACCTTTTAATATACAGCATGAAGAACATTAACAGAGATATTGGAAAGCAAAGCCCTATCAAATCAAGGGTTTGCTTGCAATGAAGGCTAACTGGATATGTATTTAGAGTTATTTGTGCTTACAGATAGTCCTTAACTTACAATCATTCATTTAACAGCAGTCTGAAATTATAATGGTCTGAACCTCTGCAACAGTCTTTCCATTCTCAAAGAGCTGCCTACCAGAAGATCGAGCTGAAATCCTTCTGCTGGCAGCTTTCATTCTGCCACTTAATGACTTGGGATTCACTTAATGCACACAATTGGGAGTGCTGAGGGTTGTGGTTTTTGAACAAAGTAGTCATGTGGCATTTTGTTTAACTATTGCTTCTCTCCACGATCAAGATTCTGGTCCCAGATGTAGTCATAAGATGAGGACTACTTTTATTTCCACTCTGAATTTAATTCAGGAGCTCAAGGTGACGTAGATAGCTTTCCCTTCTCCTATGTTTCCACAATTACCAGCCGAAAGTCATCAAGTAGACTTTAGTTGCTAAGAGTAGACTACAATCTGGTTCTTTCTGATCCTGGTTCTTAACCGCTGTAATATAGTTGGTCTTAGTTACTGATGTCCTAGTCGGTTAGGTTTGGACAAATTAGGTTTGGACAGCTGGGAAGAATGTTTGTGGAAGATAGGTTCGTTAGTTCATTCGGTTTAGACACCACCCAACTCCAGACTGAATCTGGGTGCCTCACAGTACAAGACAATGTAGCAATAACAAACTACATAAAAGTAAACAAATGGCAGATCCAATCAATACATAAAACATATAATATCCCTAGCAATGGCTTCAAACCACCTTAGCCAAAAGTCTAAGAGAGGAACCAGGTCTTTAAGGATCTGCAGGACACCATTCAGATGGGAGCCCCCCACATATCATTTAGGAATTTCATTCCAAAAGGCAGGTGCCACAAAAAACAAGCTTAATCAGTTGCCTAGAACCAGTTTGGCCTAGTGGTTAGGGCACCAGGCTAGAAAGAGGGAAACTCTGAATTCTAGTCCTACCTGAGACATGAAAGACAGCTGACTTTGGGCCAGCCTCCTTCCCTCTCTCTTTTTCTCTACCCAAACCACCTGACAGGGTTGTTGTGGGGAAAATAAGAGGAGGAAGGTGTGTTTGAGATGTTCACTGTCTTAAGTTATTTGTAAAAATAATAAAGATAAAGGTACCAGCGCACATATGTGCTAGTCGTTCCTGACTCTAGGGAGCGGAGCTCATCTTCGTTTCAAAGCCGAAGAGCCAGCACTGTCCATGGTCATGTGGCTGGCATGACTAAACACCAAGGCACATGGAACACTCTTACCTTCCCACCAAAGGTGATCCCTATTTTTCTACTTGCATTTTTACATGCTTTCGAACTGCTAGGTTGGAAGAAGCTGGGACAATAATGGGAGCTCACTCCGTTACGCGGCGCTAGGGATTCGAACCGCTGAACTGCTGACCTTTCTGATCGACAAGCTCAGCATCTTAGCCACTAAGCCACCGTGTCCCTTAAAAAAATAAAAAAAAATAAAAGCAGTATACAAATAAATACACAAATAATATTCTTGAGTCAAACTGGCAACCAATGCTGCTCCGCAAAGCAGGAATATCAAATGGTCATATAAAGGAATCTATTCCAATATTGTATTACTTGTGAAAGATGTCATTTTCAAATCCTGTTTACTTGTTTACTTACATACCTGAATAGTCCATAATCAGTTCACTTTACAGACTGTTGCCCTTGTGTTCAGGTATAGCCAAACTTGCTGGAAGGGGCGAAAAACCAAGGATATCTTGATGATGGTTCCCCTTTATAAAGCTTCCTTTTTCTTTGTGTAAATGTTTCTGTTTCTGCTTTTGATTTCACATTAATTAAATTTTGGGATATGTAGAATAGGTTGTTAATCTGATAGGCTTTCAGGGCTAGCTTTTAGAGCTTTGTGATTAAATTTACATTCTATATGTTACTAATTAAAATCTTTTATGCTATGAGTTTTTTCCCTTTTTGTTTTCTGTGAAAAGCTTTGATTTTTTTTGAACAAAAATTGTTTAAATACACAAACACACAAAGGTCCTGTATAGTAACCTCTTCTTTTAACTTGGTTTATTTTCAGGTGGTTTTGGAATGTACGTTAAAGAAGGAGCTTATTTACAATAAGGTTACGCCAACTTTTCACCACTGGAAGATTGATGAAAAAAAATTTGGCCTCACATTTCAAAGTCCCGCTGATGCAAGAGCATTCGATAGAGGAATTCGTAGGGCTGTTGAAGATATATCTCAAGGTATGCATTATTCAGACATTGTTTTGTTTGGAAAGCTTACACCTCCCTTTTTTTTTCTTTTTAGTTGTTCATTCATCTGCTCTCACCAACCCACTTACTGACAGTTTTAAAGAATGAAAGCCGAAATGTATCACTGAAATATATGTGCACATATGCAGAAAGAAAACTTGCCTTAAGTCTTGAAGGGGGAAAAAAGAACAGTATGTTTAACAATAATAAAGTCCAGATCTTATTTGGGGCGGGGGGAACCTTTGCAAATTTCTGTAGTTATCAAAGCTTTACTTTATTTCAAAAAATACTTAGTTCTCACCGGCCCCTTCTACAGAATGGAGCAATGTCCATACACTGCATGCAAACCAGTTTGTAAACATACCATGGCATCTGATGTGCTTTGGTCCTTGTTTCAAACTTTGTTAACGTGTTTACTGTCCCTTGGCCTCAAAGACCAGGACATCTGGGAACAGAGCAATCACCATTCAAAATCAGTGTATTAAAATAGATCTATTCCTGTTGTCTAGCAGGAAAGGGATATGGAAACAAAATACACCACTGTCTAAAGTGTTTCCTCACATAATGTGTTTTATTATATCCTGTATTAAGATCAGAGGTGGGTTCCTACCAGTTCGCACCAGTTCAGTAGAACCGGTTCGTCAAATCTACCGAACCGGTTAGAAGAGGTTCCACCAGTGGACCCGGAAAGCAGGCCACACCTACAGAAGAGGTTCCAAAGTTTTTTGAAACCCACCACTCACACACACACACACACACAGACACAGAGAGAGAGAGAGAAAGAAAGAAAGAAAGAAAGAAATAAAAAAAGAAAGAAAAAGTGAGAGATGAAAGAAAAAAAGGAAAAAGGGACAGAGAGAAAAGGAAGAGAGAGAGAGAGAGAGAACACATGGCCAGCAAGCCACTCCCACCAGGTCGCATGGCCGGCAAGCCACTCCCACAAAGGAGGCCACACCCACAGAGTAGGTTCGAAAAAATTTTGAAACCCACCACTGATTAAGATGATATAAATATTGTTCTTTATAAAATCGTTGCGCTATGCTTAGTGAGAAACTCTGGAAAACAAATAAAAGTGAGTTGAAATTTTATGTTTGTGCCTTTCGCCCATAGGTTGTTTGACCTCACATGATGAAATCGAAGTGCCTGCAGATGGCTTTCCAGTAAGTGTTTTCCAGTTCATTATGTTAATTGTGTTGGCTGAAATTACAATAAGTCTTAATCTAAAAGACATGCTTGTATTCATTTTTATCTGTCGATAGCTAGTTTTGGGAGAGTCTTGCCTTGAGACAAGGCTGGTGGACATCTCTGGGACTGTACAACTATTACCTGTCCCAAGGAAAGCTGTTAATGAATCAGCATGGTTTTGCAGACACACGAGTGACAGGCTCTACAAGCTAATTATTAACTTTTCTAATCCCTGAAAAGAAATGATTCATTGACAGAAAAAGATGCTGAAACTGGGATAGTAGCAACATATGGTTATGGATGTGGGAGGAATACAGGATTTAACAAGGCAAGATTGTCAGATATTGTCTTTTCAGAATTAAGGTTTGGCCCCAAAGCAGCAGTGTTTTTTTTCTTCAAAAATGTCTGCTTGGTGCCCTCCTATCAGAGCGGATTGCTGTCAGTCAGGAATTTACAAAAACAACATTGTAAAAGCTGGGCTTGGTTCAGTCTAAACTTCCTAGTGCACTTGTTTCGAATGCAGGTAGTCCTCAACCTATGACCACAATTGAGCCCAGAATTTATGTTGCTAAGTGATAAATTTGTTAAGTGAGTTTTCCCCCTATTTTACAACTATTCTTGCCACATTTGTTAAGTGAATCACTGCAGTTGTTAAATTAGTAACACAGATGTTAAGTAAACCTGCCTTCCCCATTGACTCTACTTGTCAGGTGGTCACAAAAGATGATCGTCATAAATATGAACCAGTCATCAAGCATCCGACTGTAATTCACCTGACCGTAAGGATGCTGCAACCATCCTAAGTATGAAAAATGGTCATAAGTCCCTTTTTTCAGGGCCATTGTAACTTTGAGCAGTCACTAAATAAACTGTTGTTAAGTCGAGGACTACCTGTATTCAGAAAAAGTTTTTTGTTTTTGTTTTATTTCATGTATACCATTAACTAATGTCCCAGGTTCATTCTAAGATGGTTCTGCCAATAGTCAGGATTATCTAAGAACAAAAGCAATATGAAACTCTTGCTTTTTAAACTTGCCAGAATTTGATTAAAAATTGGGGATGTACAGGAATAAAGTTTATGGATTTCATTAAGGAAAACAACCATCCTTCCAAACACCATCGAGAGAATCTGACTGTGAAACATGGGTTGGAAAAGATCTATAATTTAAACCCTGGGGCAGTGACCCATATGAAGACTGCAGTGGGCAAATCTTTGTGTATACAACTTCATTGTTTCCTTCTGTAAAGAAAATAATCCAGCTGAGTTATGTCTGTGTAGCCTTCTGTTGAGCAAACCAATTCCTGAGAAAGCATTTAACATTTTTGGACCGATAAGATTTACTGCTGACACCTGCTTCCACAAAAGGGCTGTCTCTTCTTGCTACTCTTATTGTATGAGCCAAGTGTACACTAGTATGATAATTGAGCGTAATTTGCCAGGGGATCTCTTTATGTCCTTACTACTCTGGGCAATGCAAGATTTCTCCCAAGATCCTGAACCGCTGTGGATCGCCTGTAGCTCTCTTTGTTTTTGGTACTGCTTTCTTTCCTCAATAAGCAAATGAACCTTGCAACATGTTTGTGTTTTTGAAAGCAAGTTGCATATGTCCACAGAGAATTGCTTCTGCCATCCTTTTTAAAATTTCTAGCATGTTAATACATCCACGAATGTTTGCATGTTTTTTTTTTCTAAACAGGTAGGCATCCTTCAAAACCTGGCTACTCACAGCCACCATTTTTACTATTCAAAAAGTGAATGTGGAATATCTGTAACATTCTTCCATTTGCATTATTGGCTGAACCCCATAATTAACAACTAATCATCTAGTAGAACAGAATAGAATAACAGAATTGGAAGGTACCTTGGAGGTCTTCTAGTCCAGTCTCCTGCCTAGTACAGCACCTGGTATTCTCAGGCGGTCTCCTATCCAAGTACTAACCAGTCCTGACCCTGCTTAGCTTCTGAAATCAGATAGGATCGGGCACGTTCAGGGTAGTATGGCATCTCTACAAATCTTCTAAGTAAAACGATACTAGTGCTTACCAGTGCTTGTTTCTCCATTTTTTAGAATAAATTGGTAAGGCATGGAGCCTGACTTGTGTCAAGAGAGTTTTCCTTATTTAGCTACAGATACAACATTTCCTTACCCAAACTAGTCATTCTGGTTTGGAACACAGTATATAAGTCACAAGGCAAAAAGAAAAAAAACACACACACCTACACACAACAAAGGAAATCAAAATTTTCTTTTAATAAATATCCTGAACTTTTTATCTGTTTTCCTGTTTGCATATATGGTATCAAGAGAAAAAAAAACTCAAATAATGAATCTTTGACAAAAGTACCTTCTTCCAAAAAGCAACAAACAACTAATGTTAAATAAGCAAAAAATTGGCAGAGTTATTAGAACAAAGACAAAGCCAGTAACTTAGAACAAATTTTCATAGCAAGCCTGGTAACAAATTGAAGCTTATTTCCAAATTTGAAACTTTCTTAGTGGTGATATCTGGAAAGAAAATACATGTTTCAGGCAAGTGAACAAGCGTTTTAAATCAAGGTTTTCAAAGTAGTCTGTCCAACATGAATGATTTTACAGTTCATCAAATATAATCTATTTGTTGTTGTTAGTTGTGAAGTTGTGTCCGACCCATTGCAACCCAATGGACAATGCTCCTCAGGGCCTTTCTGTCCTCTACCATCTTCAGGAGTCCATTTAAGCTCATACCACTGCTTCGGTGAATCCATCCAGCCACCTCATTCTCTGTCGTCCCTTTCTTCTTTTGCCCCCAATAATTCCCAGCATTAGGCTTTCTCCAGTGAGTCCTTCCTTCTCATTAGGTGTCCAAACTATTTGAGTTTCATCTTCAGGATCTGGCCTCCTAAAGAGCAGTCAGGGTTGATCTCCTCTAGGACTGACTGGTTTGATTGCCAATCAGTCCTAGAGGAATAAAGCTATAGAGGTCAAATTATTTGAAAAGGAAAAGAAGTCTTGGGCTGAGTATCTGCCTTTCCACAGTTTTCACTTGAATCCACGCTTTCAGGGTTAGTGAATTCATTGATTTCTCATTAGTTCTAAAACAGACATCTGAATATGGATTAGAGTATTGGACTAAAGGGTGATTGTGGGTGTATGTGTGTTCATAGTTCACCAATAGATCACATGTATTTGCAGGGCAAACCTTTATAAAGAAGCAATCACATTAACTTCCTGGTAAGATAACTTACGACTGCAATTTTCATTGCCTTGGCTGAAGAGCAGGCAGCCAGAGGTCACAACCATTTTGTGCCTTCCAGATATTCTGCTGAAATTCAGGAATGAAATATTGATAGTTATAATTTGCCCCCACTGGCTGGGGGGGAGGGTGTTTTAAAAAAATAGGGGGGATGTATTTTAAAGCTCTGGGAAGCTGTTAAGACAAGAATCACACCTTAATTGCCTCAAAATTATTGGGTGATTACTTCCTTGTGGTGGGGAAAATGAGGGGGGAAATCTGTAGGCTTCTTTGAAGCTTAATTTGTAACATCTCAAGTGTAAGTTGTGCCAAATATTTTGGACCACCCATTTAAGTGATATCATACCTTTATTGTTCATGCTTTCTGCAGCCTTCAGAGATTAAGAAAGTTCTTTTCTACTGTGTTTTATATATAAAGAGAAGTGCAAACTTGGAAATATAATTGCTTGTCTAGATTTTGAAGAGCAGAGTACCCTTATGTCTTTTCTTTGAGTATGTATGTCAAGTAGTGTGAATAGCGTAGCATGACTTATCTGTTATCTGAAAATCAATGACCTTGTACCAGTATTAAAATAAAATATACATATTTTGGTCAGCATATGCAGATACTAAAATATAAAGGAAATATAATGCAGCAATCTTTTGAGAGACTGCTCAAAGAAATCGGAATTGTAATATAAAATGTACAAAGAACAAAACCACAAAAGAAAATAATATTTAAAATGAGCATGTTGCATAGCAGTATGAATACTTCCAGTCACTAAGTTACAATTGTGTTGATAAAGCATTGTATTAAAAAGAAACATTGAGTTGGAAGGAAGCACTAATGTAATTGATCAAGCTGGTTTTAATTTAATAATGTTGAAGCATTTGTTTTAGAAAGGAAGCCTGAGTCTTGAAATAGACAACATTAATTTGGAAGTTGTTATGAGTACAGAAGAAGGACCAGGAAGTTGCACAGGAAGAACTGGAACCGGAGTAATAGAAATGGAATGAAATGAAATCCTGCCAAGTAGAAGGCTATGAACTTGGAATGATAAGAGACATTTTTGTTTTTGGCTGAGAATTCAGCTGAAAGTACTGAATAAAGAACCAGGAATCTTAGTTTATTAGAAAATGACTGAGCTGTTGATGTAATGTGTATCTGGAAAACCAAAATCAGTTTTGGATTGATTACAGGTAGTTCTTGACTTACAACCACAATTGAGCCCAAAATTTCTGTTTTTAAGTGAGACATTTGTGAAGTGAATTTGCCCCATTTTATGACCTTTCTTGCCACAGTTGTTAAGTGAATAACTGCAGTTGTTACATTAGTAACAGAGTTATTAAGTGAACCTGACTTGGCCATTGACTTTGCTTGTCAGAAGATCGCAAACGGTGATCACATGACTCCAGGACACTGCAACACTCATAAATATGAGTCACATGCCAAAGCATTTGAATTTTGATCATGTGACCATGGGGATGCCACAAAAGTCGTAAGTGTAAAAAATAATCGTAAGTCACATTTTTCAGTGCTGTTGTAATTTTGAATGGTCACTAAATGTATTGTTGTAAATCGAGGACTACCTATTTAAAAATATCCCAGTAATACAGTTAAAACGTGATTATTACTGTCAGATAGCCCAATTCTGAATGCTCATATATTGTTGAGGGATAAAACGGTTAAATTAGAAAAAGATATTAAGAAAAAAAGTGTAGGGTTGATAAATAGTAAATTGTACACTATTTTGATAATCCC